GATAGTGTATGGAAAATGAGTTGCCCAGAAGCACACTACCAGTCAAAGAGAAGAGCTAATTCCTTGATCACTTCAGTGTTATTCGATGACTTATTACTTTGAACCAATTCTCAATTACCAGTAATAATGGAGAATATGAATAATGGAAACTGAAGATCATCCTAAATATTCATGTAGCAATATATTTCCATCTATGTCCCCATTAAATCTCTCAAGAGTTACACATCCATTTCCCAGCTTCATCTCCTTTTGTGAGGTGTGTGCAAGTAGTGGACCAAAGCAGGTTGAAAGTGGGCCTGAGTAATCCACAAACACAATAATCAATCCCTTGATGTTTGAAAATTAATTGTGGGCATATTTCTCTCTAGCCTTGGAAGGACCATATATTACAAAGATGTCTCAGGAATTTCAATGAGAATGTTGAATTTGGCTCAACCTGAATTAGAATTAATGACATGATGTTGCTCCCTTCTTCGTTTGTAAAGATCTCTCAATTTTTCTTTTTATTGTTTCTAGCGATATCAGCATAATCATTTTGGCAGGTTCTTTTTCATGCTTCGGGCTTAAGTGTCTCTGTTTTTATTGGAACTTTGTATCCTAGAGAGTGAGGATGACACTAAGAACTGAAAAGGGACATGTATGGCCATTCGTCAGCCACACACTTGTTAACAAGTGAAGAGAATGTCTATCGTTTCTGAGGTTCAAAGTCCTGCCTTTGTCTAAATTCTCAAAATAACTCCTTTTGTTAATGGAGTGCACCACTCTCCTGTTTCTTCCCTATCTTCCCTCTTTCCCCGTGCAAGTAGGTTGATTTGAAGGCAGGAGGAGCTGGGGGAGCGCTGAAAATGAGAACGAGGGAAAAACAACTGAGAACTGCCGCAGAGGGGATAAGACGGAGGGGATAGACAGGACGTGGAGGGGAAGGACACGGTGGCTGAACCAGGAGTAGAAGAGAGGGCAGAACCAAGGAGAGCTTCACTGTAGTACCTGGAAGACTAGAATTCTGTTCTTACCCTTGGGAAAAGTGGCAAAAATTTTCAAAAATCTTCCCAGGCTCCCCAGCGCAGTGGCATATTAGGGCAGATTTGAGTAGAAAATGATGTTGATATAAGTTAAAAGGCTGGTGAAATGTTATAGGTGATGAGCCTAATTTAGCAATAGGGGCCACTTCTTTTTGGCCCTTCTGTGCTAGATTAAATGTCACTGGCGAGTCCAGCCACAGAAGGGGAGGTCCCAGCCTAGAGCGAAGGGCGCATTGCGGCAGGATGGACGGGAACGTGGTCCCTTCTATTCCCCAGCCTCACCCCATTACAGAGTGATGAAATGTAAAGTAAAAATTATAAGTCTGGGGAGCTATTTTTAAAACATTTTCTATAATAGAGAAAACACTAAATTTGGGCAGACAATATAGTCCCATTTTTCACAAAAAAATTTTATTTAAGTGAAAAGAAGGCATTGTGTGATATTATTGTTGACATGTTATTTATGTATTTCATGTGAGCTAAAATTTTGAAACTCTAGAAGAAAAAAGATAACCAGTAACTATAACTGGTTGTGTTCATTGTGAAGGAAATGTTATATCAATAAATTTAATGAAATAACTCAGTAATGATAAACAGGATTTCTCAGACACGCATCATCAACAGTGGCAAAGGAAGGCATTATTTGGCTACAGTCCTGGAATGGAAAAATCAAACTTAATTATATTAGTTGGTAAATTGCCATTAAGTTATGGGTGGTTCTCCCTGGAGTCTGACAGCACAATTCTGTATCCTGACTCCTCACCATCAATTAATATTTAAGCAATTGCTTTAGAAGGTTAATAATCACAGCATGAGTTAACTTAATTTTGCCTATGGTTGAAGCATAATTTGCCGTTCTCCGTTACTGTAAAAACCACGAAACCTTATTAGAAATATTATGCTAAGAAGCAATGCGCACAGCAGCACTCTTCTCCTGTACGTCTTTACGCACCGTGTAAAACTGTTGTTTTTCCAACTCTAATCTTAGGAGTCATATTTTTTTCACATCATGCTTTAAACTTTTCTTTGTAAGTTCATCCTGTTTATGTCCTACTTATTTGCTTCTGCCTTTCCTACTGGAGAGCAGCCTCATGACATTCGGGGACTGTGTGTCTTGTTTGTTGCTATATCCCCTGTGCCTGGTCATAACAGGAGCTAAATAAATGTTGTTAGACGAAGAAATGAAATTGCAAAAGGGAACTAAAATAATCCAACAGGGGTAAGAACAGAATTACAAGTTAAAGATTTATAGAGGAAACTTTTACATGATATGTTCGATCCACTCCTCTGAGTGATGCACTAGAAGCCAAGGTTCTGGGTTTCCCTGGGATCAACAGTACAGCTCACCCTAATGAGGACAGACGAGGCTGCTCCGCGCTTCCTGTCCAGGAGATACCCTGAAGTCCACACAGCACTCATATCTATCAACGAAAGGCTTAGACGCATTTCCATGGTAAATTTCAGGATGGAGCCTGGTACATTGGACACAAGGGATTGCCATTCCATTGTAATCATTGGATGCCTGTAAAAGAATTCTGCATAATTTAGTTTATAAACTTAAATTTACCCACAGCTACTCCCTCTCTCTCCTTACATGTTAGAGCTATACATTCTCTAGTGTGTTCTTTTTCACTTGTTTTAAAAGTTATTAGCTATACTTTACAAAGTTGAAAATCCCCAATAATGTTGACTTTAGAATATCAGCTAAAATATTTCCTAGCCATGGTATAATTTTTGTGGAGCTAGACTCCAGCTCACTTTTTTTCTGAAAAATAATTGACACTTTCAGTTTGAAATTAAAAAAAAAAAAACTCTATACACAAAATGTATAGATGCAGGAAATTCACTGCAGAGGTGAATCAATCTTGAGATTTCTATTTGTAGCAGAAAAGACCTTCCAAGAGTTTCATCCAAGATGGGCCCTGAGGACAGACATTATTGAATTATTTATTCACAAGTATTTGTTTAGTTTCTAATGTGAGCTTGGCCAATAACAGCCTTAAAATGTACAAGGGCAAACAATCTAGACATGGTCCCTCTCTGCCTTATAGGAGAGAGGGGAGGGAGATTTTGATTGGGCAAGTTCAGTGATATGGGATGAATGTTAAGGCAGGGAAAATAAGGAATTCTGTAAAGCAGGGGGACATAAGCTAGTTTAGGGGTACTGAAATCCCCCCAAAGACAGGCACTTAAGCTGAGCTATCTAGTTAGGCAGGGCAAGGGCAGTCAGAAAGAAATGGTCTTTACCATCCTCAGCTCTCCTCCAGTGTCCAACTGTTAGACTCTCGGTACCCTCATTCCAATTTGGGGGAAGAAAACTTGTTGGAACCAGCTTGGGTCAGGTGTCCACCCTTAGTTCAATTAGCTACAGCCAGTTCAGAGCAGCAGAACTGCCCAGTCACACCCATGGGCAAGCTGTTAGCAGAGACCTTCTAGAGGCAGAGCCACATGCTCTTAGAGGGGGAAATGAATGGAGAAGCAGTGTCTGTCTGGCACAGGAAGTTTTCTACTTTTCTATGAAATTTTAAAGATTCTCTTGCCAAATGTAAAGATGCGGCTCCTCGGGATGCTGAATGCCATAGAGGGCCAAGGGCTCCCATCAGACCCCCGGGTTTGATGATTCCCTACGAGGATCCACAGACTCAGCATATAGTTGTGCTCATGGCTACGACTCAATACGGCGGAAGGACTCCAGGCAAAATCATGGAAGTGAAAAGTGCATCAGGGCAAAGTCAGAGGGAAACCGAGTGCAAGCTTTCAGGGCCCTTTCGCAGTAGAGTCACGAAATGGGGTTAATTCCCCCAAAATGAGATATAAAACCATGAACAAAATGTTGCCAACCAGAGAAGCTCATTAAAGCCTCAGAACCCAGAGTTTTTTTATTGGGGGGTGGGTTTGTAGGCACCCCTTGTGCAGGATATATCCAAATTCCAGACTCCCAGAAAGAAAGTAGGTGTTCAGCACAAACCACATTGTTTATATGAACAGTTTAACCACATCGAGCTTGTTATTATCATTTCAAGAATGGCAGGACCACTCCCAATTCTAAGTTCCCAGACATCAAGCAAGGGCCAGCCTTGCCAGTGGGCCTTTCAAAGGAGAACATTGGGCCCGCTATGCTAACTCTTCTGCACACACAGGGAGTCAGCAAATGCCTTTATTCTGCCTCTAATAGGAAACAGACCAAATGTATATCCACACTGTGGGATGCAGTTTATACTTACGTGTTTAGCCATGAGCAATACATTTGCCTTTTATTTGTGCAGTTGGTTCTGTATCTTAAACATGGTTCATTTTCCTTGAATATCAAGTGTCTTGTTTAACATAAACCATCACCTCATGGCAGAGTAACTATTTGCCCATGTGATTGTAGGTTTGCCTCCTTCTTTAATATTTGCAAATTTTTCAACCACACCTTCCCGCAGAGAATTATTACATTTTATCATGTACAGGGATCAGTTGTCCTTCATATCAGTTTAAAGTTCAGACGGCAAGGATTGTTATCTGTTTGTGGGCATGACTGTAAAGGAAGCTATATATCCAGCTCCTCGGTGATGCTCTGCAGTGTCTAGAAGGCTGTTTGGGCTAAGCCCACACCCAAGAGAAAACCAGCTGTCTTTGAGCATCCAAGGTTTCTTTCCTTGTGTTAAAATGCCTTTTATACATTGGGTGCTCCCTCGCCTCTGTTTTCCTCTTCCTCTTTCATCTTCATTTGCTTTGATTTCTTCTCTTCCTCAGTCTTCTTCTCCAAGGTCTCAGGTCCAGCTCAACAAGGCTCTGAAAAGTCCTTAAAATCATGTTGATGTTAGTGCTGGATCCGTGAAGGAAGGGCAGCCATAAATTCTTAGCAGGACTTTTACGTTCTTTATAGCACGGCAGAGCTGAAATACAAGCAAGCCTCTCACCTGCTGGTATCCTCTGCCTCTCCTAGCATCACTGCAATGCCTAATTTGCTGACTAAGTTGCTGCTTCTGTGCTCTACGGCACAAAGACTTCCTTATCACTAGAGAAGAGAAAAAGGTGGTAAAAAGAGGCCAGTGGGGAAAACGTTTTTTCCTGGCACCTATTAGCTCACCATTCCTAATACACCTACACTCTACCCAGTCTGGGAAGTCCACCTTCACGGGCTTGGGGAGGACGAGCCTGACTTCAGCACAGGGAGGCAGGATCCCAGCCTTGATTGTCACTGATCTAATCTTGACATTTTGCTCTAATAAATGGCCTTGGCTTGAGTCACTTTGAATGGGATTGCATCTGAAACAATAATGAAGTTGAAATTGCAGAGTGGCCTTCCTGAATGCTTGTGGAATTGCTTTAGGGAGAAACTGTAAGGTAACTTTTTTGCACATCCTTGAGAAAAGCAGAATCTCCAACTGCTTCTGCTGTTTTTCTTTAACTCACTACAAGCCTGAATGTCACAGTGTCTGAAAAAACTAGCTAGCTACACTTGAGTAATCATTTTTAAAGTGACCTTTCAAATGTTTTTAAGGCTACAAAAAATAATACTCCACTTTCCCCAAAATTAGGCTTAATCATATTCTCTGTGATGAACAGTGCTTGTCACTAGGGAAGGAATTGGAGCACAGGGGCTTACGGGAGACTGTCACTTTTCACTCCACACATTTCTACATTGTTGAGTATTTTACAATGAGTATATATACTTATTAGTGTATTGTGTATATATATATTAACATGAAATATCTTAAATACCATTTTGAGGCCAGACACGGTGGCTCACACCTGAAATCCTAGAGCTCTGGGAGGCTGAGGCAGGAGGACCGCTTGAGGCCAGGAGTTAGAGACCAACCTGAGCAAGAGTGAGACCCCGTCTCTCCAAAAAATAGCAAAATTAGCTGGACTTGGTGATGCATGCCTGCACTCCCACTACTCGGGAGGCCGAGGCAGGAGGATCGCTTGAGTCCAGGAGTTTGAGGTTGCAGTGAGCTATAATCTCACCTCACACTCTAGCCCAGGTGACAGAGCGAGACTCTGTCTCTAAAAAAAAAAAAAAAAAATCATTTTGAGCAAAGTTAGAGTTCAAGATACATATGCTAACTTTTATCGCAAGTTTTCATTATACCAACCTCCAAAAATCAACCACTCCCACTACTTAAAAATCATATTAAGTACTTGTGTACAATGTGTGATTGTATCCAATTTGTCAAAATTTCCATTTTTCTCCAGCTTTTCCAGAACAGTTCAGGGCAAGCTAGAAGCACATCTCTTAAATTTAAGAGGTGGTGTGGTACAGTGACAGCAATAATGATTGCTATCTTTTATTGAGTGCTTCTGACAATTCTATTATAGAAGCTGGGAAGTCCAAGATCAAGGTGCTGGCAGATTTGGTGTCTGGAGAATATGATTAAGCCGAATTTGGGGGAAAGTGGAGTATTACTTTTTGTAGCCTTAAAAACGTTTGAAAGGTAACTTTAAATATTGGCGGTCTCACTAATTAACTTTTATTGAGTACATACAATGAGCAAGGCATTATGTTAAACGTTGTATTGCATTACTGCATTCAAGACTCATGATAACACACAAGATAGGTTTTATCATTTTCTGCTGTCCCCAGTTGAGAACACTGACCTTCAGCTAGTCTAAGAAACTCACCCTGTATAGCTACTGAGAGACACAGCCAAGATATGCCACAAGACCAGTCTGCATGCAAACCGTGTGGAAGGGAGGCAGAGTAGTAGAGTGGGCACACTCATGGGCATTGAAAATTGGCAGGCTTCACACCAGCCTCTGCCACATAGAAGCTGTGTGAACCATGGGCTAGTCACTCCATCTCCCTGTGCCTTAGTGTTCTTGTCTGGGAAACGCAAGTCCTATTTGTAAAATGAGCATCATAATAGCTGTGCCTCATGTTATGGACTGAATGTTTATGTCTCCCCCACCCCCAAACTCATATGTTGAAATCCTAACGCCCAAGGTGATGTTATTAGGAGGTAGGGCCTTTGGGAAATGATTAGGTCCTGAGGGTGGGGCCCTCATTGTGGGATTAGTGCCCTTCTAAGAAGAGGACTTTCTCTCTCTCTCTCTCTCTCTCTCTCTCTCTCTTTCTCTCTCTCCCCCTCCCTCCACCACGTGAGGACACAGCAAGAAGATGCCATCTAGGAACCAAGAAATGGGCCCTCACCAGACACCAAATCTGCCAGCACCTTGATCATGGACTTTCCAGCTTCTATAATAGAATTGTCAGAAAAAGCCACCCAATGTGTGGTATTTTGTTATGGAAGCCAGAACAGACTAATATGCCTTATGAGATGATTATGAAGATTAAATGAAATGATCTTGTAAGATACCTAGTAAAATTTTAAGAAATGTTAGCTACTATTAGGTCTAATAGACACTGTGCAAAGAATATTTATTTACTTACCTACTTAAAGAAGTATGTTATTTTACTTAGGCTTCACAAAAATATTCAGAGGATGCAGTATTTTCTTCATCTTTACGGACAACTGAAGGTCAAAGCATTTATGTAACTTGCTCAGGATCACAAAGTTGTAAAGCAAAGATTCAAATTCAGATTCATCTGACTTGATGCCCAGGGTTTGTCGTCTATATTACTTGGGAACAGAAATCGGAGTGGATATAAATGTGCAGTCTCCATCGGCTGTGCTTGTTTCCTTGGCTGCAGGCTGCAATGAGTCTGGTCCCTCCCTCCGAGGTCCCCAAGCCCCTGCCTGGAAGTGCGTCTCCCGGCTGCTCCTGCCTGACTGGCAGCTGGTGATGCTCAGAGCCAGCAGGCTGCTACGCTCTGTAAACTTCCTTTGATCATATAGCAGGTGGTGATAATGATTGTATATTGGTTTTGAAAGTTAATTGCTAAGTATAGATACATTTTTTTGTATCAAAAAGCACTACATTACATATATGATATTACTATAATTATTAGGATTCACAGATGCATTCTTCTGGCGAAGTTATGACTATTCCTAGTGGCCTTGGTATTACTACGGCACCACACCACCCAAGTGTCCCGAGAATAAACTTGCTCACGTTTCAGCCCCCTTGAATTCCACAGCTGTTGTACTTATGTGCAAAGTACTGTGGTAAGTGCTCTAGGTACAACCTTCCTGACGAAGGTTTCAGTACTGTCTATTGTTCCATAGCGTATCTTCCTCAACAGGACAGACACACACACACACACACACACACACACACACACACACACTTGTAATTTCATTTGGAAATTAAGGCAAATTTTGAATATATGCACATATGTAACACACACACACACACACACACACACACACTTTACTTGGCACTTTATGAAAGATTTCACAAAGTCTTTATGAAAAAATCCCAAACCATCCAATTTGACATACTGAAGAATACTTAGAAGAAAGACTAAAGGGTCACTGGAGACTACACGGATTTTCTTCTTCCATGTGATTGGAAAGATGGGAAGAAACCATTTAGGCAGCGGATAATAGGCTCATGTTTGCTAGGAAACCGGGTGGGAGAAGATATTCATCATCTCGAGGCCGGGAGGTGCATCTGCGAGGAGACCCAGAAGGAGGCAGCAGACGTCAGGATACCCCCAGCACGTTTGACACTAAAGAAAAGCAAGGAAGCAGTGACAATTGCAGAGAGCCACAAGCAATATAAAAGCAAATAAACAATAAATAATTATCATAATCCAATTTTTAAAACATTGGCATTGTCTATTGCTTAGAGTACATCTTCCGTTTTTTTTTTTTTTTTTAAAGACTTTTAACATATCTTTGGGCTTATGGAGGAGACCACAGCATCCAAGAAATAAGAATATAAAGTTACTTAAAATTTTTTCTTAAATAATTTTTTTATTTAAATTACAAACAACACAGCCTGATTACTGCAGTGATGTTTTCTGTCTGGAAGTTTCTCTCATTTGTATATAAAACTATATTTTCTTCTATTTTTCAAGATTCATGTTCCCCTCCCCACAATAAGGTGTTTGTTTATGGTTTATGTTATGTGTTAGATAATTATCAGAGAAACTCATGGTAGTTAAACATTGTTTTCTCGCCTTTGTGTCACCATCAAAACGCTGGTCTTTTTCCAGCCTCTTTTCTTTTAAGACAAAGCAAAGGACAACAACAACTGTGCTCCGATTACGATCTTTTTTGCAAGGTAGGATGGAAAAATATAGAAAATGGGAGCATGTACAGCAATTAAACGACACCCTCTTTATCTTGGACAATAGCAGAGAGTTATTGTCACCTCAGTGACAAAAAAATCGTCAGTCAGCAATTGTGCCTCAGACAAGGATAACGGACGATGTAAGTGTTGTGTGATTTTCTCGCTGGTTTTGGTGTGTTTGATTAATAATCGTCTTCCAGGATGCAGTCGGGCCCAGGACCTTCTGCTTTCCAATCTGAGCACTTCTTGACCTTCTTGGCATCTTTCCATAATGTTTAGCTACCAGTGGTGATAAACCCCAAAAGGTACAGGAGGTCTTCATAAAACCAGTTGGATGAAAACTAGATACAGAGTTTTAACGATGTAATAAATGCTTAGAATGATAATCGATTTGATTTTATAAAGACATAATGCCGTCAGCATGATATAATATACCTGAATGATGTAAAGATTTTGTAAAATGAAGAGTAAAGAAAACAACTTACCTTGATTTCCCCCAGCATTTAGAGTCTTTCCAAAATAGTATATACGAACCTATTTTCCACAATGTAAAAAAGATCATCTATTGTAAAAAATAAGGAAGTAAAGGATGGACCACATAAACTATGAAAATGTGGTAAACAACTTAGAGTTTCCATCACCTTGGAGAAGTGGCAAGTAAAGAGAGGGTGTGTGTGTGTGTGTGTGTGTGTGTGTGCGTGTGTGTGTAAGATGTGTGCATTAGTCTAGCACAAATCCAAATATTTGGGGTCATTTCTCTTCCCCTCATTGGCTCAGTCCTTATGTTAGCATTGAGGCCAATGTTCCTCTGTATAAAAGGGGATCTTTAGGCCGGGCGCGATGGCTCACGCCTGTAATCCTAGCTCTCTGGGAGGC